AAGACGTATTAGAGCGCAAACCAATTCACTTCTTGCTGCCCACATTTCTCCAAAGAATCCTAAGAAGGAAAGAGGGAGAAACGGCTGGTAGAAATGAATTGTAAATTGAGCCTTAAACGCAGGATCTCCTGCTCCGCTTCTGCGAGTCGAGCTTCCAAGGCAGAAAAGCGAGGGGCGTCCTCTTCGCGCCGCCATCGTACGAGCCTAGCCACATTCTCATCGGCAGAGCTGGCTTGGTACGCGAGTGCGTGTAGATGCTTGCTAATAGGGTCTTCTCCAGACAAAATGCAGCTGCACAACTTATCCGATGCCGTTGGAAGAGCGAGCAAGGCGCTCAACTTAACGCCAGACACTCACTCTCCATGGTCGATTGAATTCCCCTCTTCCCGCTTTGGAGCCCGCAATTGATTTTTTTCTAAGGGGAACGAATTCACTCAAGATACCTCACAGCAGGTAGTGAGTGTCTAGCCTTAATCAACTGCTCCTCTGCAGCTTGCGCGGTGGAAGGCGAAGACGTAGAAACGCCTGTGGTGCCACGCGCCAGGAGGAGCGCTCGCTCGTCGAATTGTATCTGGAAATCAAGCAGCTTATCCTCCACAACGTCACTGCTTACTAGGTTCTTGGTAGCATCGAGGATCTTTTCCTCTAATAGTGACACCATCGAATCCAGCGACCTGAAATTCAACATCAACGCAATGATCTGCAGGGTAGAGGGTCTGCTACCAGATGAAATCATTCACAACTTACTGAGATTGAAACTGAGAACTCTGACCCTTCATACTCAAGTCTCCTTCCTTGAAGTTGAAAATCTGAAAGGATTGAAACTCCTCACTAGCATCATGCTACTCTACTTTCCCCTAACCACTGCATGTATGACATTCGCCAGACATCACACCTGCTTCTACATACAGCTAATACAAGATAAGACGTGGACAGCTTCCTCCTGCTGAAAGTCTGCTTCTAAAAAGTTCTAATCTTCTCATACCTAAGAAAAGCTTAAGAAGTTCTGAACTATTCATTTGTTGTGGTGGAAAAAGACTAAGTACTAACATCATATGTATGCTACTACACACCTGAGAATACCTAGATACACAGAAGTATGAGAATGAAAGAGATTTTGTCAGTTCAACTGTCTCAGAAAAGCTCACCCTCAGGAAATGAATTTGAAAAAGATAGCTTATAACTGAAAATTCTTGGATAATCCAAGAATTTTCAGTTTTATCCCAAATTCAACAAGTTTCAAAAGATTAAAGATGAACTCAATTCACTTCTAGAAGTAAGTCTTAACACGAAAGATACTAGTCTGAACATCTCAGCAACCAAACACAATTTCATCAAGAGAAGCCACTACTTCGAACTCTGATCGATGCCAGCAGCGTGCATGTTTGTGGTAGGTGCGTTCACACTTTATGGTGCATGCACTCTCCATGCTAGTGAACTCTCCACACATCTAAGTAGACTCGTATGGTGCAGCCTCTGCTCTGTAGCTGCTGAGCTTCCAAGCGTGTACACGCAGCGCTCCATTTTGCTGATGTTGATGATCCAAAGCAGCACAGCATCTGTCATCGCCAAGTGCATAGACATAAACCAAGGAGGCAAGTGTACCTGTTGACATCCTCGATTTCTGGCCGGTGTCGTAACTTTTCAAAAATCGAATCAAACTGCTGCTGGTTTGGTTAGACTGCGCAATAATTCATCTCCTACGTTCACAGCCTCAGGCTCCATCTTCAAGAAGGAAATTGAAGCAGCTGAATAATCTATCGTGGCTGTGAGAATGAATTCCGACGCAACGCAATAAATCTCGCACAAAGTCCAGTGCAGACTGCCTAAGGGCGTCGACGCAGTTGTTCGTCACGGTGATAACTCACGCAAGATTTTAAGCTAATAAGAACTGCAAAGCGGTTCGGAAGTGAGACGGGAAGTAATAACTTAAGCGCTACACTTAACCAACTTCTTTTACCAAACAACCACAAACACTTTCGAGACGTAATTTAGGTTGCTCTCGTGAGCCATAATTTAGGTTGCTCTCCTCCAAATTGTGCTTCTCTCGAAACTCTAGCCGCCTTTGAACCTGTTCAAGCTTTCGCTCCAATGTCGCGATGTTGTCATTTTGACTATTCACCAGCTGGCGCAGCGCCTCCACCGCATCCTCTCCTACATTTCCGCCGGCTACTCCTGACAGGCATGGAACTCCTGTCGTGCAAGGTCTCATCTTGTGTACTAGCCCGACAAATTAGAGCAGCTCACTGTGATAGTGATTGTGATTCATCTTCCGCTGTTAAGCTGTTCATCTCTTCACGCTTCCATGCAAAGAAACCTGAAGACGAGAAACCTTGCGGAAATGAATTGCGAATGTGAGCCTTACACAAACTTTGATGCTTGTTGCGTGGTATGTGTATGTCTACATGCGTCCTCGCTGTGCTCCCAGCCTTGTTAGTACTAGGCGCAACTACTGCTCATCGTCTATATTCTTTGCCTCCAATAGTGAGCTTCCTCCTAGCAAGGACCAAAGAGGTCACGACCCTCCCGCCTCACCGAAAGACGAGCATGCGCACTTTCGTAAGTCGTTCAGCACAACCACTGACAAAAACGCCATGAACAAAGACCCGTACACACCATTCTTGTTAATGAAGACCACTGCCGTGTCTCCAACTCGTGAACGAAATTGAAAAAACGAGGAATGGCATCAAAGTACAAGTAGACGATGACAAGAAATCATGGAGAGTAAATAACAGCCTTTTACTTCTGCTTCACCTTTCTCTTTCATGACACCATTGTCACTACCCACGAAAAGGACTACTTATCTCTTTCAACATCACTATCAAAACTAGTCGCGTTACCATCAAATCTTTACATATGCGATAGCGGGCAGAATATTGTGAATATCGCTGCAACGTCGAACATTGCTCTAGGGACCATTTTTGTCCTAACCTTTTGTAACAATATTCTTCATGATTCCTCTAGCAAGCGGGTACTAGAGTAGTTACAACACTACGCTTTGATATGATCTTTTCCTCCTCCTGCTGCTGAACAAAGACCTCGTCTCAAATCATCGCCTCGTTTCCGCGACCACTCAGGAGACGCTTTACAATACGAGATGAGGCAGGACTAGGGATCCTGCTTAAGTTCCCTGTGAGCAAAATGGTTTCACAGAGAAACAATAACAAACGAGGAACCGCACGACTTCGTCTTCAATCTGCTGCCATGTCATGATAGATGTGTGTATCCCTGTCGTGATTCAACTTAATAATCATCTCAGGGATATCACACCAGTATATGAATCGTAATAGTCTCCGGGTCCTCCTTGAAAGTTGAAGATGAAAATCATCAATTCCTACCACAAGACGATGGGTAACAAATCACTAAGATTCGCATGGTAATAGGAGCGATATCTAGCTGCAATACACTGAGACTGAGAGTCGATGAAAATAAGCAGGTTTCTCTTCTAGGAATTGTAGCAAGTCAGAATCCTAGGATCGTTCCAATCTTAGAAGTCATGATGAGAAGCTGTACCTCGTAGAACTACTTTGCTACTTTCATACACAACGATGTGTATGATTACAGATACGCAGCAATCTGGCTTGCATTAGATAGCATGGTTGAAGTCTAGTATGTTCTTGGAGTCTGATCAGATCCTGAAACAAGTGAACAGAACAAGACTCGTCAGAAAATGAATTCAAATGGAAGGCGATAAAAAGTCATTTTTTCGAGGATTCGCCAAAATCTATGATGAAAGCTCGAAATCTTTCGAATTTGAAACTTGAACTTGGGCGAGTCCTCGAAAAAACGGCTTTTTATCGCTTTTCCATTCAAATTCAATTCCTGGTGACACCTTTTGCTCAAACATTGAAGGACTCACATCAAAGTAGCTGAAAAGCTGTGATGGTGCTCAACGACCATGATAGTGCAGTACAGATCACAATAAATCGGTACAGATCACAAATACCATCAATCGACTAGAACTTATCGCAGTCTTGAGGTAGTAGTAGAAGATTCTTAGGTCATCGCCATGATTAGAACGCTTTTAGACTTAGACAAGGAGATATTTTTTCATCTAGTAACCTTATTTCTAGTAGCCGTATTCAATGTCAATACTTTCAGCCTCCTATGCTCGTTACTAACACGCAGTACCTTGTTCGTCACCTCCACACTATTTTCCCGCCCATATCTACTGCGTATTCACCAATGTTGTAGGCGTCAGAGAGACTGCAAAAAGGCCTGAGTGCTGCACGAAGACTTCGCTCCTTGGTCACATATGATGACACAACTTCGGTCGACCCTTATGGGGACTTTTCTTGCCTCTCCTTCGGCATCTTCATCCGACGCGCGGTAACTGGTCGCGCTCGTCACAAGTTGCATGAAAAAATCATGGCACCTCTCTCCGACGACAAGGACATCATTTTGCACTTGTTCTCTTGGCTTAATAAGAAACAGAAATGTTGGCTTGTGCTTGTTGTAAGTACTTAGACTAGCACAAAGTGTTTCAAGAATCATCGATGTCTTCAATCAAGAACCAACTCCAAAAACAATTTCCTTGAGCATGATTCTGCAGTGCAGCCGTATCTTCAGCGCTATCCGCGATGATATCAATCATGCCTTCAACAACCTCAAAATGCATTTATTTCGCAGAAGTTCACAACATATCCTTCTCCTTTTCTGGCGGTTTAGATTTACTCGTTGCAAGTGCTAGTGCTTTTTCTGTGGCTCTGTCAACTGCAGCGTCTTTTCGGTGGATAGAGATCTCGTTTGTCTGAACCGAGAGGACGGAGCCTAGAAGTTGCCCTGACGTTCTTTTAGCCTCGGAATATCTATGTACAGATCCTACGTTGAACAGACACAGACTATGCGATGAACAAGATGTTGCTCCTAATACCGACAAAAACAAGTCTCCAGCTCTCTTTTTTATCAAGCGCACCGTAAATTTGAAATTTCGACTCTTTGACCGATTGCCTCCGGCGCTACATCGGTACATTGTGCAACTGTACGCGTGCACTACAGTGATCCAAACATCTGTACTCACGCGAGTGCAAGAAGACGGCGGTTATCAAGTATGCAAGTAGTACAACATACATCCATAGAGAAAGTTGGTATTACAAAAAAATGTTTGTCCAAACAAGTAAGACCTTGCACGACTCAGTCGATCAATTCCACTGGTTTGCCGTCCTTCACTTCGACCACCAGTTCGATCTCTGGATCTTCTTCAGGCTCTATCTGTGTGCTGGCCCTCCGTCTTCTCTTGCGTCTCTGCTGCTGTTAGACCTTACCAATATGCATCCTGCAGTGTATCGTTGACCATTTTCTCTCCTGAAAACACGTCAAACTCGAAGATGCTTGTGCTTCTTAAGGTGAAAATGAATATGCTAAAGCCATAACTCTTAGACGGCGACGGAGTCGGAGCCGCAGCGCGACCGAAGTACTCCTCGCGCGCTTGCCTTCGATCCCTTGCTTCCTGATGAAGATCGCGGAAAGAGTGCTGCGGACCTCGATCCAAAGCGTTGCCACTCGGCACATCCCTAGCGAAGTCGCAACGTGCGTCCAAGGGAAAGAAGTCCTTTTGCTCCTGCGGATCCTTTACCAATATGAAAAAGGAAGGATTAGCTTTAGGACGATGGGGAGAGAATCAGGGTAGGATCGAGATCGCCCTCGATAGAGGCCTACGGGGAAACCTATGGAGGGTTGTGTTCCACCCAGTTTCCCAACCCTCCCGCCCCTGCCTCCTGTTGGGTCCCCACTGGTCTCCCCGCAAAGGCAACCGGGGGGCCCGTGGCTGCCGGGAGACCAGTGGAGAGAACCCACAGGAGGGTCAGGGAAACTGACGGGGTTGCCTTTATTGCAGGGAGACCAGTAGGGACCCAACAGGAGGCCCGGAAGGCAGGGGCGAGAGGGTCAGGGAAAAGGATGGGGGTGGAGCACGACTCCCCGTGGGTGTTCCCCTAGGACTCTATAGAGGGCGACCTCGACCTTAAAGAGAATAAGGATGAGGAGAGGCACTTACTCGATGAAAGCAACATTCTACGTTTTTGATATGACGTTGGCCATTTTAAGTGCTTAACTAGAGACTGTACTCATGTTAGAAAGACACACTGTCGGCGCCTACATCTCGAAAACTTGAGAAGTTGAGTATAGGCCTTCATTTTGAAGCGAATCCTCGAAAAAAAGGTCTTTTATCGCCAAGCAATTCAATTCAAATGCCCTCGAAAGCTTGAAAAGTTGAGTCTCACTCTTCAATTTGAGGCGAATCCTCGAAAAAATGGTTTTTTATCGCCCAATAATCGAATTCCAATCCTTGTCGTCCACTATGGACCTAACCAATGTTGCAAACTAGATCATACCTTGAAGTTGCTACCTCAACAGTCGATACTATCAAACCCTCTCTGTTCAACTATTGCTTGTAGTTGCAGTGAAAAGTCTAGGCAGAAGACATAGAATCCAGTACGACTCTAGCTTCATGCTTCAACTTCTACCCTTAGCAGTGCCTGTACATAGAATTGCTGTGTAATTCCGTCACTGTTCTCATGTCACTGCTCTCCACTTGCAATGTGAGTGCTTGCATAAGCATCCTTCAGTTAAGCTACATCGTCACAGTTCTAGAGTGACAGAAGATCCTTCTTGTCCATCATACTTATCATCTATCAAGATTTACATTTCAACCTGCTCAACATAAGGTAAGAGTCGTAGTCGATTGCACCTTCGAGCTGACCGAGAACAGGATTCTTCCAATCTGTATTCCCCACTGTCTTCTGCACGGCATCAAAAATCTCTTCCTTTGTTAGATGAGAGAAACGAAGGAAGGAGAGGTTCTTTGCTCCTGACGTCTAACCACGGTCTGTGGTTGAGTGAGTATGAGTTGTTGCTTTCCCCTCTAACAAATCAAAGAACGAAAAACGTCATATTACTAATTGAGTTACACCGTGACCAGATAGTGATACTATTGAAAGTCTACCCTCTCGCCTCAACTTTGTCTTGTGTCTAAGTTGTTGCTTCACTTTTCGAAGCACGTGATACTTTCTTCGTGGATGTTCGGCCAACCACTCTGGTGCCACTCTGACGAACTCCAATTCTACAGGCCTCGTCGAGTCTGCGAGAGTCCAATTATTCATGGTGATGATCAAATTTCCCACCCTCATCATTAGAATTTTTGCACCTACTCACTCATCCTTTTTGTGGGGTCGTCGTGGATCCCTAAACAAGATGAATATGATCCCTTGGGTGCATATGCTTCAAGGATCCTCCACATACAAAATAGCAGGATGCATTACTTGAGGTAACAGTAATATAACTTTAACCACAAATGACCAGAATTCCACCGGTTTTCAATCAGTACTATGATTTGTTTGAAACTGAGTATCAAAATGAGAGTTCAAAATTGATTACTGCAAGGTGATAAAATAGCAATGGAGTAGCACGAGCCACCTTAACATCAAAGCGTCTGCATTGGGCTGGATAAAGAAAATATCTCGCAAAGCAGCACGTACTGAAAGGACTCGAGGATGCTTCACGAAGTCCAAGTCCGGATTCTTCCAATATTTTCAACAGATGAAAGAGGACGAAAATGATGATCTACTTCATCATAGGTAGCACTAGTACTGAAGGACGAGGCATGCCGTTATCTTAACCTTGTTTTTCTTTACCTAAATCAAATAATGGCATTTCATTCTCAAAAACAAAGTTAGTAATAGCATGCTCACTGCTCAGCTTAGGGTAATAGGTAAACGCTTCAAGCAACCCAAGCAGACTAAATCAGTAACCGAGGAGGAGTGATGGTCCTCCACCAGGCAAAATATAGTCAGACTACTTACATTCATCACGAGAGCAAACATACTTGAGTCACGTGTGTGCTCCTGTTGCCGTCATTTCTCGATTGCCGTAGAAGCCAAAATCAAAAAGCCTTTATTGTCATAATCTTATGCAGCGTGAGGTCGATGCATTCTCCCTTGACAACGCGTATGACAATATGATCCAGCTTGCTCCCTGGTTTGTAGTACCGCCGAACCCTGCTTGCAAACTTTTCACCAACATATTCTGACTTAGAGGACCTTTCAGCCTGATGTACCACGACCATGACCAATTTGAAGGCATAGGCAACGACCTGCCACCATTCTAGTAAGACCTTTTCTTCGACGTCCTTTCAAACGAAAACTTGGTCCTTTATTACCTTTTGTATGTACTTACACTGGGATCTTTTCTCAATCTCGTCCCTGTCAAAGATTCCCAAGATGAACTGACATCACAGATCATTAGAGAAGATGGGACCTTAATCGTCATGCGCAATTGCGGCTGTCCGCCTGTCGCTTGAAATTCCTCACGTTGGAACCGTTTCGCATCTTCTGCTTCCTCTTTCTTCTGTTCCTCCGACTTCTGAGATTCGTGCCAGCTTTTTGGTAATTTTGTCCACCATGGCTCTACCAGTCCTAGGTTCACCCGATCTCCTGGATCTCGGTCTGGTTGAAGACCCTTGTCTCCGAGGTTCGACAGCGATGCTTAGCGCTCGCCTTAATCCATCCTGAGACGCACCCTAGAAAGATGCTTTTGCCCTACTTGCAAAGCTCTTCTTCATCATTCCAAGGATGCATACCTTATCAACCTCTAAACTAACATAGGCAACCTAGATTAGGAAATAGAGCCTTAACAAATGAGTTTCCTGGGTTTCATGAAGGGCTTCTGAACCTGCTCCAGCGCGATCTCGTACGCCGTTTGAGGAGGGCCAACTACTGAGCTCTCACCGCTTGAAGACGTCGGCACAGGTGCATCTTTTCGCCGGCGGGCCAAACGCATCTGAAGCAGAGATTCGATGATTACTCGAATCGCTTTAGAAGATGGAAGATTCCAATATCTGTATCTAAAAGCTGCAGTCGTGGTTTTCAACGTCGTTACGGCGGAAAGATGATAGCAACAACTATCACACGACACTAGGAGTTGAAGTTCGTTTAGTGCGACAAAGCAGTTGAATCCGAATGTCCATAATTGAGAATGTGGCACATGGGCACCACCAGGTACAGCATATCCACAAATCATCCCGCGCGAGCAGCATATCCACGGTTACGTGAGGATAGGGGGACATCACTTCTCTGAGATCTGCCCTGATATACCTCGCTTCTTGCTCAGCTACTACGGCGAGACCATACCAAAATCGCCGTCCAGTGCGCGTCATACGCATGTAAAGCCGTCGGCCGTAAATCGCCCACCAGCGGTCAAGCCATTTCTCGCAGTACGCCAAATGGTACTTGAGAAAGCGGTAAAGCCATTTGGGATGCCCTTCAATGACCATCAACTTTATTTTTGCAATGTATTCTTCAATCTGGTCCGCCATCATCGCCCGAACCGCTACCGCCTTCTTGTTTTCCAAGCTCCACACCAATACACAACCCAGTATAAATATTAGAAGAGGCATGAGCATGATCATGTTCAACATGTAGAAGTAAGTCAAATGCGCATTTACTGGTGATGTCTGTCCTCCGAGTCCGAGGACATGATCTACTTGTTTGATCAAATAGCAACAGAATAGAACCTGCCACTGCCTATCAGCATGCTGCTCTCATCTCCACCAGCACCAAGAACTAGTGCATGTAGTATTATAATGATTTTAGCCAGAAGATATGACAGCCACTACATACAGCTACAAGATAAGGAATAAGCATTCTTGCTGCTGAAAGAGCCCTTCTAAAAAACTCTCAAGTTCCCAAACCTAAAAAGAAAGCTCTAAGAAGTTCTGGACTATTCATTTGTGTGAGAAACAGACAACTTAGTAGCATCATACTGTGTATACTACTACACTCCTGAGACTATGTAGATACACAGAAGTATGAGAATGACAGAGTTTTTGTCGATTCAACTGTCACTGTGTCAGAACTAAAGCTCACCCTCAGGAAATGAATTTCAAAAAGATAGCATATAACTGAAAATTCTTGGATAATCCAAGAATTTTCAGTTTTATCCCAAATTCAACAAGTTTCAAAACATTAGAGATGAACTCAATTCACTTCTAGAAGTAAGTCTTAACACGAAAGACACTAGTCTGAACATCTCAGCAACCAAACACAATTTCATCAAGAGAATCCACTACTTCGAACTCTGATCGATGCCAGCAGCGTGCATGTTTGTGGTAGGTGCGTTCACACTTTATGGTGCATGCACTCTCCATACTAGTGAACTCTCCACACATCTAAGTAGACTCGTATGGTGCAGCTTCTGCTCTGTAGCTGCTCAGTTTCCAAGCGTGTACACGCAGCGCTCCATTTTGCTGATGTTGATGATCCAAAGCAGCACAGCATCTGTCATCGCCAAGTGCATAGACATAAACCAAGGAGGCAAGTGTACCTGTTGACATCCTCGATTTCTGGCCGGTGTCGTAACTTTTCAAAAATCGAATCAAACTGCTGCTGGTTTTGTTAGACTGCGCAATAATTCATCTCCTACGTTCTCAGCCTCAGGCTCCATCTTCAAGAAGGAAATTGATGCAGCTGAATAATCTATCGTGGCTGTGAGAATGAATTTCGACGCAACGCAATAAATCTCGCACAAAGTTCAGTGCAGACTGCCTAAGGGCGTCGACGCAGTTGTTCGTCTCGGTGATAACTCACGCAAGATTTTAAGCTAATAAGAACTGCAAAGCGGTTCGGAAGTGAGACGGGAAGTAATAACTTAAGCGCTACACTTAACCAACTTCTTTTACCAAACAACCACAAACACTTTCGAGACGTAATTTAGGTTGCTCTCGTGAGCCTTAATTTAGGTTGCTCTCCTCCAAATTGTGCTTCTCTCGAAACTCTAGCTGCCTTTGAACCTGTTCAAGCTTTCGCTCCAATGTCGCGATGTTGTCATTTTGACTATTCACCAGCTGGCGCAGCGCCTCCACCGCATCCTCTCCTACATTTTCGTCGGCTACTCCTGACATGCATGGAACTCCTGTCGTGCAAGGTCTCATCTTGTGTACTAGCCCGACAAATTAGAGCAGCTCACTGTGATAGTGATTGTGATTCATCTTCCGCTGTTAAGCTGTTCATCTCTTCACGCTTCCATGCAAAGAAACCTGAAGACGAGAAACCTTGCGGAAATGAATTGCTAATGTGAGCCTTACACAAACTTTGATGCTTGTTGCGTGGTATGTGTATTTTTACATGCGTCCTCGCTGTGCTCCCAGCCTTGTTTGTACTAGGCGCAACTACTGCTCATCGTCTATATTCTTTGCCTCCAATAGTGAGCTTCCTCCTAGCAAGGACCAAAGAGGTCACGACCCTCCCGCCTCACCGAAAGACGAGCATGCGCACTTTCGTAAGTCGTTCAGCACAACCACTGACAAAAACGCCATGAACAAAGACCCGTACACACCATTCTTGTTAATGAAGACCACTGCCGTGTCTCCAACTCGTGAACGAAATTGAAAAAACGAGGAATGGCATCAAAGTACAAGTAGACGATGACAAGAAATCATGGAGAGTAAATAACAGCCTTTTACTTCTGCTTCACCTTTCTCTTTCATGACACCATTGTCACTACCCACGAAAAGGACTACTTATCTCTTTCAACATCACTATCAAAACTAGTCGCGTTACCATCAAATCTTTACATATGCGATAGCGGGCAGAATATTGTGAATATCGCTGCAACGTCGAACATTGCTCTAGGGACCATTTTTGTCCTAACCTTTTGTAACAATATTCTTCATGATTCCTCTAGCAAGCGGGTACTAGAGTAGTTACAACACTACGCTTTGATATGATCTTTTCCTCCTCCTGCTGCTGAACAAAGACCTCGTCTCAAATCATCGCCTCGTTTCCGCGACCACTCAGGAGACGCTTTACAATACGAGATGAGGCAGGACTAGGGATCCTGCTTAAGTTCCCTGTGAGCAAAATGGTTTCACAGAGAAACAATAACAAACGAGGAACCGCACGACTTCGTCTTCAATCTGCTGCCATGTCATGATAGATGTGTGTATCCCTGTCGTGATTCAACTTAATAATCATCTCAGGGATATCACACCAGTATATGAATCGTAATAGTCTCCGGGTCCTCCTTGAAAGTTGAAGATGAAAATCATCAATTCCTACCACAAGACGATGGGTAACAAATCACTAAGATTCGCATGGTAATAGGAGCGATATCTAGCTGCAATACACTGAGACTGAGAGTCGATGAAAATAAGCAGGTTTCTCTTCTAGGAATTGTAGCAAGTCAGAATCCTAGGATCGTTCCAATCTTAGAAGTCATGATGAGAAGCTGTACCTCGTAGAACTACTTTGCTACTTTCATACACAACGATGTGTATGATTACAGATACGCAGCAATCTGGCTTGCATTAGATAGCATGGTTGAAGTCTAGTATGTTCTTGGAGTCTGATCAGATCCTGAAACAAGTGAACAGAACAAGACTCGTCAGAAAATGAATTCAAATGGAAGGCGATAAAAAGTCATTTTTTCGAGGATTCGCCAAAATCTATGATGAAAGCTCGAAATCTTTCGAATTTGAAACTTGAACTTGGGCGAGTCCTCGAAAAAACGGCTTTTTATCGCTTTTCCATTCAAATTCAATTCCTGGTGACACCTTTTGCTCAAACATTGAAGGACTCACATCAAAGTAGCTGAAAAGCTGTGATGGTGCTCAACGACCATGATAGTGCAGTACAGATCACAATAAATCGGTACAGATCACAAATACCATCAATCGACTAGAACTTATCGCAGTCTTGAGGTAGTAGTAGAAGATTCTTAGGTCATCGCCATGATTAGAACGCTTTTAGACTTAGACAAGGAGATATTTTTTCATCTAGTAACCTTATTTCTAGTAGCCGTATTCAATGTCAATACTTTCAGCCTCCTATGCTCGTTACTAACACGCAGTACCTTGTTCGTCACCTCCACACTATTTTCCCGCCCATATCTACTGCGTATTCACCAATGTTGTAGGCGTCAGAGAGACTGCAAAAAGGCCTGAGTGCTGCACGAAGACTTCGCTCCTTGGTCACATATGATGACACAACTTCGGTCGACCCTTATGGGGACTTTTCTTGCCTCTCCTTCGGCATCTTCATCCGACGCGCGGTAACTGGTCGCGCTCGTCACAAGTTGCATGAAAAAATCATGGCACCTCTCTCCGACGACAAGGACATCATTTTGCACTTGTTCTCTTGGCTTAATAAGAAACAGAAATGTTGGCTTGTGCTTGTTGTAAGTACTTAGACTAGCACAAAGTGTTTCAAGAATCATCGATGTCTTCAATCAAGAACCAACTCCAAAAACAATTTCCTTGAGCATGATTCTGCAGTGCAGCCGTATCTTCAGCGCTATCCGCGATGATATCAATCATGCCTTCAACAACCTCAAAATGCATTTATTTCGCAGAAGTTCACAACATATCCTTCTCCTTTTCTGGCGGTTTAGATTTACTCGTTGCAAGTGCTAGTGCTTTTTCTGTGGCTCTGTCAACTGCAGCGTCTTTTCGGTGGATAGAGATCTCGTTTGTCTGAACCGAGAGGACGGAGCCTAGAAGTTGCCCTGACGTTCTTTTAGCCTCGGAATATCTATGTACAGATCCTACGTTGAACAGACACAGACTATGCGATGAACAAGATGTTGCTCCTAATACCGACAAAAACAAGTCTCCAGCTCTCTTTTTTATCAAGCGCACCGTAAATTTGAAATTTCGACTCTTTGACCGATTGCCTCCGGCGCTACATCGGTACATTGTGCAACTGTACGCGTGCACTACAGTGATCCAAACATCTGTACTCACGCGAGTGCAAGAAGACGGCGGTTATCAAGTATGCAAGTAGTACAACATACATCCATAGAGAAAGTTGGTATTACAAAAAAATGTTTGTCCAAACAAGTAAGACCTTGCACGACTCAGTCGATCAATTCCACTGGTTTGCCGTCCTTCACTTCGACCACCAGTTCGATCTCTGGATCTTCTTCAGGCTCTATCTGTGTGCTGGCCCTCCGTCTTCTCTTGCGTCTCTGCTGCTGTTAGACCTTACCAATATGCATCCTGCAGTGTATCGTTGACCATTTTCTCTCCTGAAAACACGTCAAACTCGAAGATGCTTGTGCTTCTTAAGGTGAAAATGAATATGCTAAAGCCATAACTCTTAGACGGCGACGGAGTCGGAGCCGCAGCGCGACCGAAGTACTCCTCGCGCGCTTGCCTTCGATCCCTTGCTTCCTGATGAAGATCGCGGAAAGAGTGCTGCGGACCTCGATCCAAAGCGTTGCCACTCGGCACATCCCTAGCGAAGTCGCAACGTGCGTCCAAGGGAAAGAAGTCCTTTTGCTCCTGCGGATCCTTTACCAATATGAAAAAGGAAGGATTAGCTTTAGGACGATGGGGAGAGAATCAGGGTAGGATCGAGATCGCCCTCGATAGAGGCCTACGGGGAAACCTATGGAGGGTTGTGTTCCACCCAGTTTCCCAACCCTCCCGCCCCTGCCTCCTGTTGGGTCCCCACTGGTCTCCCCGCAAAGGCAACCGGGGGGCCCGTGGCTGCCGGGAGACCAGTGGAGAGAACCCACAGGAGGGTCAGGGAAACTGACGGGGTTGCCTTTATTGCAGGGAGACCAGTAGGGACCCAACAGGAGGCCCGGAAGGCAGGGGCGAGAGGGTCAGGGAAAAGGATGGGGGTGGAGCACGACTCCCCGTGGGTGTTCCCCTAGGACTCTATAGAGGGCGACCTCGACCTTAAAGAGAATAAGGATGAGGAGAGGCACTTACTCGATGAAAGCAACATTCTACGTTTTTGATATGACGTTGGCCATTTTAAGTGCTTAACTAGAGACTGTACTCATGTTAGAAAGACACACTGTCGGCGCCTACATCTCGAAAACTTGAGAAGTTGAGTATA